GAGAGAGAGAGAGAATTCCCCAGAGAAGCGTGCAAATTAAAGACGTCTTCAGCTTCGGCATTCTCTGACTTTGGTCGAGGTATTCTGTTATAAGCAATTACCGCAGCATGTAACAGTAATTTCTGCGATTCTAAGCAAAACTTTGACGTCAATCTCTCGCGAGAGACGATGATGACACGTATATAAATCGTGTCGTTTTGTATTGAGAACATTGTTATAAAGCTCTTCGAATAATACATAAATTGACATGAATTGAATTTCGCGACTGGTGCAATAGCGCAATTTTTGCGACATGCTCAATCAAACAATGTGAAATTGTTTCAGAGAAGAATAAGAATAGAAACCAATAATAAATATGCATTTTAGAAACAAGATTTTAATATTCTGTTGAATTGGAGCTATTATCATCTACTTTTACGTGTGCAAATATAAATCTTTGGAGGTTTTTCACAAAACAAGAAAGATATCAGAGAAAAAAATATTATCATGCCATATACATAATTAGGTAAGCCCAAAGCTCAAATCCGAGAGCCTGGAACAACATACTACACGTATATATAGGTACCTGCAAACACACACACATTGCTGTGGATACTCCTGTAGGAAAGGATGACTATATTGACCCTGACGCAAGCTTACCAAGTTTGCCGATAGTACCCTTTCCGGCGCGGTCGCTTCTGTTAATTTCATCCGTAGTGTTAGTGCCGTGACTTCGAGCAACCGGATACACGCGCTACGATTTAGCGGTCGGCCCATTGGAAACATCGATCGCATCTGCTCGACATAGTTGGCAAGACAGGGAGAGGGAGGGAAGGCCAAGCGCGGAAGGAAGAAAACAGGAGTTTCGATAAAAACATTTGCGTCAGTGTGCCACGAGCCAAGCAATAAAGTGACAAAAGTAGAAGACAAACTGTAGAATTGATCAGGTTGAAAGAACCTTCTCATAATAACGCAAAAAAGCATTGCATACGTACGCGTCTGCACCGCGTCACTCTCCATTTTCCGGCTACTATCTGTGAATTCGCATTGCAAATAATGTTACGAGCCTCCGGACCGTGAAAAGCTTTGTGCGTATTTCACCGGCCGGCACGATCGAAAATTTCGTCGGAATTATGTAGAGTCTTCTAAAAGCGCAAGTTTTTACATTATGTTGTACAATGGCTTATGTCCCGAATCTTTTATGCGGTATTACAAGTCTGAGAGATAGGAATCCAGATTAGAATCCGTTCAGTTGACACGCGCAGTCAAAGGAATCGAGGGCCTATTATTTTTCCGATGCGCGGGTTAGTTCCATAATTCATAAAGTTTGTCGCGGCTCGCTCTCCGTCGGGCGGGATCCCTATAAACGATAACTTCGTGCTTGCGTTTGCCTTCCGATCGGAATCGAGGGCTCCGTATGTGTCACAGCGAGAGCAAGTTTGCAAATCGTCTCTTTTATCCCGGCACTCCGTGGGAGGCAGATTTGCTCGCCTTTCCCATTTGAGAATCGTTCGCCCTCTATCACGATGCTTCTGCATACGCGATCGGGCGATAGCGAGATCATTCCTTTTCCCGGGTTCTCTCGAATAAAACAGTTTTTTTCCCCATCGCCGACATTTCCGCGATAAAGTAGCACGTCCGTTTTTTTTTCGCCGCACTCGTCCCCTTTCATTTTTGAATTTTACCGTGGTCCGCCGCCGCGTATGAGCTAGGGAAATCAATAGTAGCCGAAGACAAATATATTAAATTTGTTGCATCGTAGAGTATAATAAATTTATCAAATATTTCAGCTGCGCTGCTAAAATTATGCGGAAAAATATTTGGTAAAAATAATCTTTAGAGAATCAAAAAACAGTGATCTAACAGTTTTTTTCCATTATCATTGTATGTTTTTTCAAGAGCTAAAAAAGAATCCACTCAAAGAAAAGATTTACTCAAGTTTACTTGAATAAATATTACATTTATGGCTCACACAAGCAACTTATTTTATCGATTGTCTTATCTAGCGGATAAAAAAAAATAAAAAAAAATAAATTCAGAGAGAAGGTAATTAGAAAGAAGAGACCCACAGATTTCCTGTGCAGGCTTATCTCTAGATAACGTTGCACACGCCGCTGCGGGATTTTGCTACTTCGGACATTTACGAAAGATTGATGATCTCACATCTGATAAGACGGTAATCTCAAACCGGCATTTCCAAAGCTTTACCTTAGGAACGGAATGTAGTGAGAGATTGATTGAAGTTATCATAGTTCATTGAAGTTTTCAATTGAAGTTATCATACACCGAGATGGATATTGAACATATTGAATAGACTTCACGGAAAAAAAAGAAAAAAAAAAACAAATTTCAAATTGTATGTTTCCAAGCGTAATTTTTTTCTTTTTCTTTTCAAAGTTTTTTTGAGTTTTCCAAGTCGACAATTCTAACAGATAATCAAAGGAATGTATTCATGTGAATTCGATCTTTAAACTAGTGAAAATACATGCTCGATATTTGTAGGAACACTTGCGTTATCTAAATCGGGCGACATCGTTGTCTTATCAGATTTTCTGTAAACAGCTCAGAGATTATAATACTTTACAACCCATTTTTAATAAAAACTTTGAGCGTCGTTCTTGTGCGAAGCGATCGAATTTACTTGTGTGCGCGAGACTTGCGATCGAGTAGATCCGGAAATTATCTTTCGATAATCGCTCCTTCAAATTATCTCGTTACATATTATTATAGCCTGATTGCGGCGACGGTCAGATAGTCATTAACGCTCCAAGACAGATCAAGAGAGTAACACAGCGCGATAGACAAATCAAACGTTACCAAATTTACAATGGAAAACGGATCTAGAAAATCATCTCAGGTTAGTATCTCGTTCTTGATAGAAGTAGAATCTTAATTAGAAATATGTTATGACTAATTATCATGAGATTATAATTCGGAAACGAAAAGCGTGTATCTCCATATTTAATCGCTTTCTTATCATCTGAAAGCTGTTTGCACAAATATATATCTTTCGAATATGCATATCATTGTAAATCATCTACGTTCTTTATTCGTTAAAATGCAATGACTCATTAGACTCACTTTTGTTCACAAATTTATAAACATTGAAAATGTTTATTTTAAGTTCTTCTTTCCTATCTAAACTTTTACTGTCGCGTTCATTTATCATGAATATCCATTAGTGATGGATATTGACCTTATATACTCTATAATTTCTTTCAATGTCATTGACGAGTTCAGAACTAATTTGTCTTCATTTTTTTGCCTTTATAAAAATTACGCTAAAACGTTAATTATGTTTCCATTAAGAAACTAGAGTTAATTACATCTGTTATTATATAATAATTATACATCCATTAGAAAACTAGAATAAACTTCTTCATTTCTTAAAGTCGTGTTTCATTATACTTTCCATTTTTTTTAGGTTTCCATTTTTTGTGTAATAATTTAAAAATTGATGAAAATTTGTTGATTGCGTAATCGTATTTTTAATCTCCTCTTATGTATAATGCGGTCAGCTCAAATATTTTCATCGTTAAAATACAGAGATAAATTCGGCTGATTCGAGCCTGTAATCTTGTTACGCAAATATGCTGGAATACTCGACGCAGTGTTGAGGGCCGCGTATTTTTCCCCCACATTTTCCCGCGATCATTCATGTGTCCATTCAAAGTGTGCCATCAGATCTTTCCTTCGTTGACTTGGCGATAATTTATATGATGCAAATATAACGTAGCTCTCATCCGTGTGTTATTGGCAGGCGAAGAGGGTTTCTCTCGGAGTTGGCGGTGCTTTGGTGGAGCGTCCGGACGAGCCGGAGCGAGGCGCTTGGTCCAACCAGATCGAATTTGTTCTATCCTGCATCGGGTATGCCGTTGGCATCGGCAATGTTTGGCGTTTCCCTCTCTTCATATATCGCAATGGCGGCGGTACGTACGTACGTACGCGCGCATGTAACCGTGCCCGTGCGTGTATCTGTCCCACAGCATACATGGAAAATACGTGCTCCAGATACGACGACCATCGAATTATATATCATACTGGGATGCGCACAATATCCGCTCTTATACAGGGCGTCGGAAAATTATAGATACAAACTTCGAGAAGCTGATGCGCAAACTTTGAAATTGTCTCGTGGATCCAAAAGTGGGAGAAATAGTTGTCATAAACAAGAGCCCGGGGTTCAGGGAACTTTCCTTTGGAGCTACAATTGATTCCCGATAAACGTTTTTCATTAATTCATTCACTTGTTTTAATGCAAACTGTCAAGTTCTTTAACATAGATCTGTAAGCCGACTGTTTACACGAGAGCTTCATTCTCATCAGATAAGAGCTTTTCAAGTAGCTGTACATGTTGTGTAGTCCATTAATTATTTGTATAATTTTTTTATATTTGTATCTTTATATTTTAGGTGAGTATTGTAATTATCATAATTTATATAAATTCTAGTACTTTTTAGCGATAAAAATCAATTGTCGATAATAATTTTTCTCAACAATTTGATTTAAGTTTTGTTCAGAAAAAATTCTGTCTGCGAGCTAATCAGAGGAACTGTAATTAAAGTAGTGCATGGTTGTTCTGTAGGCGCCTTTCTGATACCCTTCATTATTATGCTGATCACGATGGGCATGCCTATATTCTTCCTGGAGCTTTGTATGGGTCAGTATACCGGATTCGGGCCCGTAAAAGCTTTCCGTCACATGGCACCGGCTTTTCACGGTCTAGGCTATTGCACGCTGGTCGTCATTCTGCTAGTAATGATATACTACATGGTAATCGTCGCGTGGACTTTATTTTACACTTTCGCTTCTTTCTCGTCAAAACTCGCTTGGGCATATTGCGATAATGATTTCAACACGAACGGTAAGTGGAAGCAAACCGATATGCTGATAAATATTAAACTTTTATCGCACAAAGTCCAATTAAATCTTGATGAACGCGTTACCGAATATCTATTATTTATCAATTGATATGTTTGCAGTTCCATTGTTTCTTTAAAAAGCACAAATTTTATTTTTATAAAATCATTGATAATTAAGTTCGATTAAGTGAGTTCATGTATTATAAATTAATCCCTTGAGTGCTATGGAAACATACGTTTTCTGCAAAAATCGACATCGATTTTGAGCTCATACATATGTTTAACAAATTTTTTTATTTATATTCTCGACATAAATAAAAATTATCAGTATAAAAAAATTAATAAAAATTATTCCAGCAATTGTCAGTTGCAAATTGCGTGTTATCCGTATTGAGCGCTTAGCTCAAGAGCACTCCGCATTCAAAAGATTAATCAGTGCCTATTTGTTTAGACAATGTATTTAATACTAATGCCGATATGGGTAGATTGTTACAGCGGTCTTCAGGATGGAGAGTGTCAGGAGATTAACTCAAGCTATATATTTTTCAACAAGACCTGCATGAACGCAAACAAAGTCTGTACCGAATTGGGTTTCCAGTTTGGCAACACCACCCACTGCATTTTTGAGAATAAAACAGCCATGGCGCGCGGTGATACTTATAATCGGATACTGGCGTCCGAAGAGTACTTCAGGTATGGTACGCGCACAATGTCGTCAGCGCTGGTCATGTCGTGTCGGGAGGATCGTTAACGAACCTTACGCCGCTATTCAGCGTTGAGGAGTGCGAGACAAAAATTGTCGAAGATCGTACATCCGCAAAGCATGTAATTGTCGATCGCATCCAGAGACTACGTTCTCGGTTTACGCGGCGCCACTTGGGAGAACTTCGGCGGCATGCGATGGGAACTCTTCGGATGCCTCACGCTAGCCTGGATAGTGTGCTACTTCTGTCTGGTGCGCGGCATCCAGAGCGTCGGCAAGGTCGTCTACTTCACTGCGCTTTTCCCTTACTTGATACTCACGATTCTGCTAATACGAGGTAAAAAACGGAGGAGTGGTTTTATTTAGCGGCGCTGGCTTTTACTTTACATTTAATCCATTGACCGTAATTGCGGTTCAAAGTTTTAAAAAAAGTATTCATTATATTTTCAGAACAGATATATAATTTTTTTTAATTCTAAAAATGAAGGTAATTTTTTTAAGCATAAAATTGCATGTTTAATAAATTTGATATTAATTTAAAATTTTTCTCCAATTCTCTAAAGATTAATGTTCTTTGTTGCACTAAATCTATTTTTGAAGAATCTTAGCATTGTGTTATAGTAAAAATTTATTTTTGCACAGGTCCGCTAAGCGGAGCCGTGTGTTCAGGCAATATCGGATTCGATACAACGATCATCGACTAAGTATCTTCGCGCGATTTAACTTTTTCAGGGCGCGCTTTTCTGCAAGCGTTTCCCCATAAGCTTTTTCCGTAGATCGCGCGTCCGTCCGTTTAGAATTTGCGCATGGATTGGGCGACAATAGGATCATAACGCGAGATCGGATAATTCCGTCGTGAGCGTAACTGAAGGAGATATTCGTGTAGGTGCTACATTGGAGGGTGCCGATGAAGGCGTTCTATGGTACATCAAGCCTGACTTTTCAACGCTGAACAGCGCCACAGTGTGGGCGGACGCCGCCTCCCAAGTCTTTTATTCGCTCGGTATCAGCTGTGGATCTCTGGTCACTCTCGCGAGCTACAGCAAATTCCACAACAATTGCCACAGGTGTGATTATATTAAAACAAATATATATTTTTGTGTACATCTACAAAAGCGAGCAAAAAATTTAGGACGTTTGCGAACGCGGAAGTAAATAAAAGAAAAAGAAGAAAATGTCCGCATCCGGATTCATCGCGCGTCTGGTCGCGCAAATAATTTAATCGCAAGACGTGTATTTAATTAGTCGCACTGACTAAGCACTCCAAGTATCTATTAATCTTCGCGGCTCATCGTTCGCCGACATTTCAGTTTCTTTACGACATGGCGATCGTTGCATATTTCATTTTAGCTCAGTACTCGACGACGTCGTTTCGGTGACGGGCGTCGTCGCGAGCAGCCGGTGTAATTTTGAGACTAACTCGAGTATAATAATAACGAGCCCGTGGAGGTAAACTGTCGTAAAGGATTAAATATCGTACAATAATTCGATTAATAAGACCGACGTGTAAATTCTCGAATAGGGGATAAACTTTTTTACATCCCTTTCGCGAATACTTTCGAAATGGTGTATGATAATTTTTTTAAATAAATAAACGTATGTTGCGTATTTCAAAAATAAGCAACAAATGCGCTACGCACACCGTGAGAAAAATAGGAAATAAAATTGTAAGATTACGTTGGGTATCAAAAGGACAGAAAAAGCATGCAATTACGGGTTAGAAGGATCTTTCGCTTCTATTTGCAGAGATGAAAGCGCTTCTTTCCCAGCGACACACGCTATAATGTTGACTTTTTTCTTTGTTTTAGCACATAAAGCTCACTTCTGTGTGGTTTATCCAAGTATATCAGTAATATCCCGTATGCTCATCAAGCGTACGATAATTTGATTTTTGCCTCTGTTGCTGCTTTTAGAGACACTATCTTCGTCACCTTCGCAAATCTATTCACGTCCATTTTCGCCGGCTTCGTGATATTCTCGATACTCGGATTTCTGGCTCGAGAGATGCAAATGCCGATCGACAAGGTGGTCCAGAGTGCGGAGGGATTGGCCTTTATCGCTTACCCGGAGGCGGTGGTGCGGATGCCGGTCGCGAATCTCTGGGCCATTCTGTTCTTCTTCATGCTCTTCATACTCGGCCTCGGCAGTCAGGTAAATACACGAGCGAGTGAATCGTGCTTTATGTATATCGCATGATCTGATTTTGCGAGCTTGCGCGTGTTGCGACGACAATAAACGGGAAACGAAAAATGCTATCGCGCGAACGCTTAAGGAGACCATAGAAGGTATTATTTCCATTTTTAAGAAAGAAAAAACCGACTGGCAAGACGGCCCGCTTTCGTCCCACGTCGCACTTACGACGACGAGAAAAATAATTATTAGTGCGATGAGCAGGTGTGGAGGCGGGGCTGGAGATGCGAATTTCAATTTTCCTCCGCGTAATGAGAAACATCGCCGCGCTAACTGCATTCGTTCCGACGAGTTGTATATTCGCAAGATGGTACGAACTCCTCGTCTCTTCTCGTCGGTTATTCGAAATAGTTTAACTACGCGTACGCTAAATGAAGCGAAATAATGCGAGCGATACGTACAATGCTCGTACAATTCGAATTTCCTGTGGCAAAATCGGAATTTGACCTCAATACTCGGAGAAGGACGCAGCGTTGCCCAGCAAGAGATGAATTTGCGTTTATAAATATCGTTTTTAGCTCTTTTTCACTTATTCTCCGATAATATATCAAAATTTATTTTAAAAATACTCCGGACGAAACAGAAAATATTTTTGATTTCACATTAGCACTTGGAAAAAAGATCTTAATAGCATGTATAATATTTTCTATTTCGCTGTTCGATCTATTTCAAATCGAAAATAATGCCAAATCGTTTTACAAAAAAGAGAGATTTTATTTCATTATTGTACTAAAAGGTTATAAAATGTGTCGATATTGTATCGCATACTAAAAGGTTGTAAAATTGTATAGATTTTTATTCTTTTGTGAACAACATTAAATGTTAATTTGATATTTTTCGCTTTTTCGTTTGTATCAACATCTCTAATTCAATGCTGTAACAATATCTCATTGAAATAATACAACACCACAGTTAACAATTGTATAACTTCCAAACTTTATTTAATTGCATATTATGTCACACAAGCAATATCAACTGCAACATCAACGGCAAGTCATATCTTATTTTTCACAATTAAAAATTTTTTAAAATTAAACAGAAATGTAAATTCAAAAATGCCTTCTCTCCCTTTTTTGACAAAAAATAACGCAATACAATATCGTCCATTTTGTAATCACTATGCATTGAATTGTGCACTTCGTCAAACACGTCAATAAGTTCGTATCTCTGCGCATTTATGCAACTATGCAAATAGCTATAATGGACGCGTAAAAAAATTACAAAATAGGCTCGCGGGAAATATGGTTGTAGTATCTTCCACGTCGCTCATCGACCAAGCTATTTCGCGAGGATTTCACATCCGTTCCGGCGCTAAGGAGGCGCTATTCAGGCGCCCTGAGGAACGGCTGGCATATTTGTCAAAAGATGCCGCGGGCGAGAACGAGGGATGCGCTCTCGTCTCTCCTTCTCTCTCTCTCTCTCTCTTTCTCTCTCTCTCTCTCTCTTTCTCTCGAGCGAGCGACTAGCCGGACGGCGATCGTTTCGCGTTGCTTTTGCATCGCGAAACTCTCGCCGTCTTTCCACCCCGGGGCTCGTATATCATGGAAGGAATTATGGTCCGCCGTCTCAGTGAAATCCACACCTTCCTCTCCTCCGCGCGATTTTCAGCACCGGTCTTTTCCAGCGAGATCCCGGAGAGCGAACAAAAACTGTAAAGACGCGCTTATATCATATGAATACGATCCAAAGTTGGGCATTTTCGGAGATCGAACGCGTCGTGCCTATTACACAAAAATAAAGGAAAGAAATGCGCGCGGAGAGGATCGCGAAGGAGAAAGGAAACGCGGCCGCGGCTGTTACTTTTTATGATGCAGTTTGCAGGCGTGCAAGCGATAAACACCGCCATACTGGACAGGCGTCCGGATTTGCGAAAATACGAGGCCTTTGTGATATTGGGTATATGCGTTGCCTGCTGGCTCCTAGGGATCCCGATGGTGTTCGACGGCGGTATCTACCTGTTCAAATTGATGGACTGGCATACTGCCTCCTGGGCGATCCTATTGATCGGCTTTGCCGAGGTGGTTATAGCCTCTTGGTTCTACGGATGCAACAAATTTCTGGATAACCTCGCCGAAATGAAAATGAAATTCGGCCGTTATCTACGCGGCTTCTGGTGGTTCTGCTGGGTCGTCCTTGCACCTCTCACTTGCCTGGTAAGTGCACTTTACAAATCGTCCCGCAAAACCACCAGCCCTTGTCATCTTGACATAAAATTTTCATGTTTTTATTGCTGCCGGATATAATTTTGCATTAACTGCAGCTCGAAACGAGCGTTTCAATGATATTAAAATATTAACAATCAATTCTACAGTTCAAATCAGCAACTGCGGTGAGAACAGAAGTGCGTATGTAAAAATTTAAAAAGGTTCTATCTATGATTTAAAAAAAAAAAAATCGTTTCAATAAAAACATATAAAATGACTCAGTTGAATAGCCCGAAATTTAGTGTAAATTTTTAGTACAGATAAAATTTGATCGAAATAACATTCAAATAATAGCTTTATTTATTATGGAATACATAAACTATTCCATATATGTATATACACACAACACTTGTCCATACACTAGTTTATGTATGGAATATATAAATTAATTCCATATATAAAAAATATATCGATAAAATGGACTCGACGTAACATTAGAACATATTTCATTTCTGCGATGAAACTGTTAAACCGATCTATATTCATTGCTGAATTGATGAAAAGCGGTTAAATCTTTTGAGATCCGTGCAAACAGCAGCTTGCGAGACAATCAGCAACAAAATGCTGCTTCCTATAGCATAAACCATGATCTTGCGTCGCCTTGATTCGCTATTGTTATTGAAACAAGTTATTCCAGCCCTTATCTTTATACGTTCGCGAGTAAACTACGCGACGATGAAAACTTTAACGACAGCGCCGACGATACAATTGTTAAACGATACAATCGACGGTACTAACGAGAGGAAGACGCAATGATGTTTAATCCCGCCGCGGTAAGGAGCCCACGTTTATTGACTGTAAACTTTGCGGGAAGTTCGGCGACACAGTGAGAGAGAATATACCGTAAATTAGTCCCGACTATATATCGCGTAGAGACGATTAATGGAATTTATATGGAAAGTAATAAAACTTAAAGCCATCGATTGCTAAGAAGTTCCGTACAATATAATACTTCAGAAATATTCCTAAAATTTTTCAATTGTAATGCAAAAAACTTTTCAACTTGTTTTGTGAAATAAAACTTCTGGAGATTAAAATTTTATGATAAATTTACAAACTTAACAGACAAGAATATTATAAGTGATTTTAACAAATTATATATATTTGTCTGAATATGTACGTGTACATATTTTTTAAATTTAACAATTGAATTTCAATTTATAAATAACTATTTTTAATGCTAATATAAATTCAAGTAAAATACTAAACTCTATCGTTTAAAAAACAATTTAAAACTTAGGCAATGAACCAAATTGTTTTTCACCAATATGTACAACTTATATAATAATATAAGAAACAGACTTATATATATCAAAGATATCAGATAAGAAATCTGACGCTTATGTGAAAGAGCGATACGATTATATTCTTTTTCTGATTCTATCGGACTTTTTAAACAGAGTTATCAGCTTCGCAACTCGCCGTTCGGCTCTGACCATACGTGTCCCTAGGAGGCGAAGCGTTGTATTTTCTACAACCGAACTGCTTAATTAATCTGGCTCTGCTGCCTGTCGAGGCGTGCCGAGCGAATTTTTATTTATAACGGCTAAATTTCGCCTACGCTATCGCAGGGACCGAAATATTTCCCTCGACGAGCACCGAACGGCGCCCTGCGAAAGTTAGTTTTGATTAAAAATTCGAAATCCCCCTTAATTGATAATAGTGTCACGCTCCTACACACACACACACACACACACACACACACACATACGCACACACATATATCTATCGTTCAGCCTCCCACAGCTCGCGTGCGAGAAACGACTGACCAACTGGCGCTTCGCTTTTTATCCACAGGGGGTCTTTGTATATCAACTAGATCAAACCGACTTCCAGGGGAACTATGGCTCGTACGTATTCCCCGTCTGGGCGGGCGTAATTGGGATCGGAATCGGACTAGCAACGTTGGTGCCGTTACCGATCTTCTTCTTCATACAACTCTGGAAAACGAAGGTGAGTCAGCTGCTCGCGATGAAAGGACCAAAGTTTCTATCAAACGCGCCTGCAAATATGTCTGGTAATCAGTCCACCGAAGGACTCGCTCAGGACCGTTTATTCGTTCGTTCAGCTGTTTATTCGTCCATTCACTGAGTCATTCCACGTGAAACGGATTTTGAAAGTTTAAGCTTCGCAAATATTCCCCGCAAAGTTTTAATGTTTTAGTAAAAGTGAAATATGTATATATACATTGTGCTTCTCAAAATGAGGAAAATGACATTATTCATTTTGTTCAACGACTCAAATATTATATTTTTCAAGAATTGAGAATAATTTATTTCCCGCGAGAAAAATTTATCAAACTGACGCGAGAGACTTCTCGAGCTGAAATTTCTTAACAATCAGAATTTTTTCTTGACGACTCGCTTTTGGCTTATTTACTTAATGGCTTTTATTTTTCAGAATGGGAGATTATTGTATTAAGAGAGAAATGCGCGGCAATCGGATCATTAATTTTCACCAATGAGAAAGCAGAGGCGTGAATTGACATACATTTCGCGAAATCATCGAATCTGCCGATAGTCTCTTGACCGACTTGTCCCGTTTCCTATACGATCGATTAATCAGACGCGCGTGAAAACTTTTGTCATTATTCGCGAAATGCATGCGGCTTACGTATAAATTATTTCCGCCGAATGTGGAGAAATTGCGATCCACTAATATTGTTCCGGTGTTATTGTACCGCATTATTCCCTCTGTCTTCTGATTAGAGTGAGAATCTCTCGAAAGCTACGTAGCGCGGGGTAGCGGTTACGGGCCGATTTAGAAGTTGCCCCGGCCCGCGCCGTAAAATCTCGAGAACTCGGGAAACGTCTTAATACAAGTTTTTCCACGGTACGTAGGTAATCGTACTTTGAAACGAAAAGTTTTCTCCGCGAGGCCGCGCGCCGCTCTCCATCGCTTCGGATACAGGGCCGCCGCGAGTGTAAATCGCGCATTGCACAAAGAGGCAATGCATAAAGAAGGTCGCCGGTCGCGAATTTTAACAAAATTGAAAATACAAAAGTTGACATACATTTAAAACTTAACACTTTGCTAGATTAAATTTTTGGAATTGAAGATTGCTGTACGCTCGAACTTTCGCAAACAAATGATGTTATGTGACAACGTATTTTGACATTTGAATGAATACAAATATTGTGAATCTCTATATAATTTTTTTTCTGTCCTTCTGATTTTCGGTTTTAAAATATATTTTATTCTTCAATAATTTTATATTAGTTTTTTTTTTATAGAGAAGCACTAAATGAAATTTTGCACAAAAGCACTTTACGTGTCAGCGGCGGCCCTGTCTGGATACCTATTTCTACAAAGGGAGAGAGAGAGGGAGAAAGGCAAACAGCTCTCTTTCTTGACCGCTTCCGCTTTCTGTTAGCCGATAAATTTAACATTACTCTTATCTCCCTTTCCCATTGTTTTCGGCCGTTCCGCGCACACTTCGAAAGTACTTGTGCGGTTTCGCACGAAAAGATATGACCTTGCGGGAATGTGAACGGGTCCGGCGGCACGTATCTCGCCCATTATCGGATTCGCAACAATTTAATTTGTGCCCTTTTAATTGTTCGCAGAACATCCGGGCTTTATTTCGACCTACCAAATTATGGAGGCCGGCTGAAGAAAAGAATGTGCTGGATAACAACAGCGTCAGCACTGCGGTGGTTAATCCGGCCTACGCTTCTTCCGATAAAATTTAGAATTTTTAATTTAATGAATAGATTATGAGAAAGATTTGAAGAAATTCCAAAATACAAAATACTTTCTAATATATTCACATCTAGAAATATGCGGATACATTTTTAGATGTGAGTTCAACGCAAAAATATAAAAAAAGCTACATGAATTTTAAAAAATGTTAAAAGTTTTTATGAATATTTATATTGCACCGGTTGCTCGTTTACAGCGAATACTCAAATTAGACCATCTTGAATTTGAATATAAGTCTTTGTAATTATGAATCTTTCTTCTATATAGAAAAACTATTAAAATTATTAAAGAATTTCGTCTACAATTTGAAAATAATTTTAGATTAGATAAGCGTTTATGTATTTTTTTTTTACATTATTTTCGCGTGTTGTATTTATCTTCAAAATTGTGTACGTTTAATAAGCGCGTTATATCCAATTTTGAAAGCTCTTATGGTTCTTTAAATATTTAGAGCAATTCTGAAATAATCATACGGAAAACTAACTATTTATTGCGGTCTTTCTAATAGTAGTTACGGAAAAAATTTACATTAATAAATAAAATGAAGAAATGATGGAGATGTATATGTATGTATACAGGAAGAGAAAATAATTTATTCCGTTCTAAAAATATTAACCTGATTGTGAGAACAAAAGTGTCACATTAAAGTAATAGAATAAAAGTATAATTAATGAATAAGCTTTTTACGCTGCACGAAGATTCTTTTCGATAAAATTCTCAGTTTAATTAATATATATAAATTTATCGTCTCTGTGTGATATTATATTTAAATGAACATAATAATCTTTCCACTATGTAAAACTTTTAATCAAGTACATCTATGTTCACAGAATACACACGGCGTGTTTAGTTTTTTGAAAAGTTTGTTTCTGGATTTAATTGGTTTTCGTCTTCTCGGTTCTCCAATTATACACACAATACATCTTTAACATTAATTGCGCAAGGCAGTAACAATTAACTGCTTTTTCAATAAGATTTTTTTCTCTTACGGTAATTTAAAAAACTTTAGCATCATTTATATTCTAATGATAATTATATAAGAATATCTACTTCGAATTAACTCTGTCACGATTAACGGAATATACATGTTCTACTTTATTTTCGATTTATAGTTTTATCTTACGCAAAATGAGATAAAAAAAGAAGGCCAATAAAATATTCATTCTAGCATATATTTTATATATTTATATAGTTTCGAAAATTGCATGAGCGAAAAATATGCAATTCGATCACAAAATGATTAATACTTTTTAAGCTTTCAGAACAACTTTACAGTAAGTGCACTTGTTATAATTATAAATAAAGCACTTGAAGTGTAAGAAAAATTCGCGCGTATTGGATTTCGCAGTAGATACGGCCGAGCACAGTCATATGAATCGACAAAGCAATGTCAGAAAAGCGGAGACCGAGGAGGAAACCTATCGCGTTGTTCCGCGCCGTCTTTCCTACTAATTAATGTCGGCGAACATGGCTGCTACTCGGGATTCCATGTCGCTGCGCGTTGTAATATCGCGCGGAGCGGTCGCTTATAAGCTACCTTATGGGAGCCGCGAGCGGACGCGACGAATACGCGCGTCTCTAATGAGAATTACAAGCGGTTGGCATCCCGCCGCACGCCACACCATATCGTTGCATACATGCCGATCGATGCTGGAGATTCTCAGAAATGGACATCGCGTACAAAGCGTTGAGAAAAACGCGCGAAATGAAAATAATGAGATTATAAAGCTTTTAAAATAATTTGATAGCATATATTAAGAATTTGCAGTAAAAGCACTTGTTATAAATATAAATAAAATTCAGGACTTGAAGATGTGTAAGAATTCGCGTATTTGATATTTTGCAGTAGATACGGCCGGGCACAGTCGTTTGAATCGACAAAGCAACGTCAGAAAAGCGGAAACCGAGGAGGAAACCTATCGCGTTATTTTGTTATTAGTTAGTGACAATTGTCTAAAAAAATGTACATATAACTTGGAAATTCATATAATAATTAATCGCACATTACACGAAAATCTATAGACAAACATGAACATCTAAATTATAATTAAAAATTATAATTAAAATTATAATTAAAATTGTTGCTTAATAAATTGTGTATTAAATCATATTAAATCGTTGTTTAAGAAAAATAATGCTCCCAAAAAATTCCCGATTGTGAATTGTAAATAAGATCTTTAAATCAGGAAAATATGCTAATATAAAATATAAAAATTTATTTTCGCAAAAAATACGAATTATGTAAATAGAAGATTATTCCGGAAATGCATTATCCCATATTATCATCGCAAATTTTAAATTTCTCTCACGTTTAGATTATCTGTGTCGGCTAATTCCGAAATCATGTTTTTTTCGGAATTTCACTATGTATGGTTTGCGAATTTCGAAAAAGAAAAAAGGCAACGCCAGACGATGAAACTTCTGCACAATGAATTTCCGTTGCACGTTGTTCCGCATTTCTAATTTCGGTATTATGACTCTCCGAGTATTCGCCACCGTATTATCACCAGCGCAGCGCTGATTAATTTAACTGTTTCAATATAGCTTACGTTATATAATACTCTATCGATCCTGCTTTTTGTCCACTGACGATTGTATGGATTGTATTAATATGAATCGATCTTCATTCGGGACAGTTGGTCAATAGGTCATAGAGCGTGCGCGGCAATTAGTCTTTAAACTTCATTACTTATCGCGCACTTGTCCGTTTGCTCGTTCCTTTGGCACCACACGTTCGCACGTTCGGCCGCGGTCGGTCGAGTTAATTGAGTCGGTCCGACAATGAGGGAGAATCGACGGACGCGAAATCAAGTTTTGCCTTCGAGTCCAGTTTAGTTTTTCGCGCATTGTAAAATCGGAACAAGCCATTGTGCAGCAACGACGACGACGACGACGACGACGACGACACCCGTCGTCTCGCCGTACTTCGTTTGCCCGAGAATACCATTCACTGCGAAGCAAGGGATCAGATAATTATCGGTTAGAAATAATGACGGGCAGGGATAGATTCACCGGAACAATTACGTTGGCGTATAAAACAACGTAAAGTGTTCTCGTCGGCAACAAACGAGCCTCATTATACGGAAACTGTGCGAATGCTGCGCGTTCACGGTGTTTTATTCAGTCACATTTACAGGCTGTTTGGGAATTGATGTTAAATGCTTTTGAAGCTTATTACTCTCTTTAAAACTATGAAGAAAACTTGTATGAGAGAATGTGCTGGAGAAGGTCTTATATTCGAGCTATAAAATGCAACCAATATTGGACGCAATCTTTTATGGCCATTTCTTGAACATAATAACACGAGAAAGAATCTTTTTAATAAATATAATTATAATATAAAAAGTTTTAAAATACAATCACTTTTATTTTTAAAAGCTTCAAGTAGATAAATTCATTCTGATTGTTACATAGATAAATTTTAGTAACTCTGTATCTTCGTGTTTTATTTTTATAAAATATTGACCATTACATAAAATTATTTAAGATAAAAATAACAAATATATGATTCATTTTAGGTTCTACAGGTATTTAACATCAATTTTCAATCACATTTTGTACATGACACGGGAGTTCACAGATTATTTTTTTTGTCATCTCTGTGAACTGTGCGCGGACATGCATCACACCACGACCAGACTCGACAAAAACAAGCTCACCTCTCTCGCTACAAATGCAGGCATAATGGAATTATATGGATCCGTAGAGCGGATTTAAATTTTCAAGCGCGACGTTCACGCACGCGCGGGCGCGGATCTGTGTTCGGATCTGTTTTATAATCCGTGCTATTAAAGTCGCCATAGCATTTGCATTCTCCTGCTCGCGTGCCTCCGCTTCCGGCAATTTTTGGCCGGAACGGCGAACAGAGGCGTGACGGGCGGAACATGAAATTCATGAGAGTGCGCTGGACGCGTGCTCGCCATCTGAGCTTTACCAATTATTGTCGCGAGGAAAGCTCGCGATACGGGACGTTTCGGTTTTTCTTCTCATACGAGTGCTAGTACTACAATATCGAAAAGATCGATATATTGAGGCAACGCCACGCTATAACGAACCGACAGTGATTCTACTCGCTACCTCCGCTTATTGCTCTTGCTTCCTCCAATGCAATATTGCAGTAGACGCCGCAAACTTTGTTCCAATTTGTCATAAAGCATTTCTGGCGCCGGCGATGTATTTCAATGATTAGTGCAATTTTATTGGTGTTTCATAAATTGTACGAAATCATAAAAATTAATATGTTTTCTGTATGGAGGTACGTGATTCAAATATCTTTCCACCTACATATTCTATGATAAATTTCACTTATTTTTCTTTTAATTAATTTTTCTCGATGAAAATTTTATGAGAAAAAACCATTGTTTATCTTTAATTTTCAATTCTTTCTCTCTCTCTTTTCAATCCTTTCTCTTTTAAACAATTAAGTCTCAAGATCAGATAACCGAGATAAAATACAGGAAAAATTGATTGATTAGAAAGTTTTGTAATTTAGTCACAAGACATGATCTTTTTGGAACTTAGTTAAACGTCATCAAAAAATAATTCCTGATCACACATTTTAAATATTAGTTTCTCTGCACATAATAATAGTTATTATGCGCATAGTAATCGTATAGAAATGCAAGAGAGCAATTCTATTTTCCGACATCCAATCTGAATATCCGGAGCTTTTATATATCAAATCCAATCTTTTTGAAAAAAAATTTACCGCTGGTAACCTGATACCGTCTATTTAATACGCATAGAAGTCTGTTACTAAAATAAATTCAATTAAACTGTAGCAAATGTCATTTTCGAGTTTAAAATTTGCTTGGCATCAAAGACACATCAAATCCATACTAAATCTCTGTGATCAAATAATGTCGAAAATACAAAAGTTCTGAGAAATGATGTTCCCGATGAAATTTTCATTAACCCGGCAGAACGGAGTGTAATTTACACGCCAGTGGCCCAATATTCAGGACACATTTCCGCCATTCCGTTCAAATTCATCGAAATTATCAATAACTTTCCACTTAATTAAACAAATTGAATTATCATCTGGGTATTATGCAAATACCTTCTCGATATTGGCAGAAAGAAAGCAGTCCATCATACACATTGTGCAACAAATAGTAATGGCATATAAATGAAGCGTAAAAAAAACCCAGTGGACCGAATTCCAATTTTTTGCTCTATCCTTAATTTTATAAAATTAACCTCGTGACCTCGCGCCAAAATTGGAATCAAGCAAAATAAGATCGAGACATTCCGTAGAATTTCAATTACAAGACGTTGTACCGGTACGGAGCACAGCTGGGAGCAATTTTCTGATTAACGGTCGAGCGAAAAAATCGGAATTCAGTTTCAATCTTGATAAAAAGGACGCGCATAAAAATTGCTCACAAATTACTCGAATTACAGCGCGACAGGGAATTGTATGAAAGCGGTCAGCAAATTAACGACGGTGCACTCGGAAGTGCCATTCAATTCAATCTGGACGACGAATGCTGGACGCTGGACGCGAACGCTGGACGACGCATCGCGACGCCCAGCCAAGCCTATCCTATTGCTCTTGCATTAGTGACGATATCGCGCTTGAGCTTGACGCTCGGCCGGCAGTCGTAGTCACGCGTTACGCTGCAACCGACACGCACTAATTATGCAAATGAGTTTAGGACGGCGGGGGCCGTTGTTAATGAGCGACTGGCACGTGCATTCGGGTTACATCGTGCGGAGAAACGCTTCTCGGCTGGGCGTGACGCGCGCATCTCATTCACGAATCGCGCCGCACCGCATCGATGATCGCATCAGTGGCATTTCGTCGTCAGTCGCACACCCCTCCCCTATTTTTCCGCGCAGCTTGCATATCGCCGCGAGTGCAATATGCGGTATATTGACAGAAGGATGCAGAATCCGTTCCGGTTTTCGAGTGGCAGCGGCATGCACGGCACGACGTTACGCGTCGCAGCATCCGGAATTCCCCGCACCTAGCACTGGTTTACTCTGGTCTGCCGAGCAGTGACAGATGGGAGTTGGGATGGCTTGTGCAAATGAGCATCCTCACGAGTTTATAGGATTGAATAAAATATGCGATTGTTTCGCCTCATTAATTTTTCATAATTAATCGCGCCCTAGAATAAGCGATAGGGTGTTGCGTATTCAAACCGTATTATTTTAAAAGGTGG